CTCAGATACCTCAAAGAAATGCTCACCTATGGACTTCTCATAAGGCCCTTATCCACTACCATACTTCAGGCTTACTCTGATGCTGATTGGGGTGGAATGCTTGATATAAGCTGACACTCAACTTCAGCTTGTCATTCTTCTTGGGTCCAATCCTATCAGTTGGTGTTCTAAAAAGCAGCGAACAGTTGCTCGCTCATCCACTAAAGTTGAGTATCGAGCTGTTGCAGGAGCTGTAGCCGAAGTAAACTGGATTGTTAATCTCCTTAAGGAGCTGCATCTTCCACCTAAGACTCTGCCAAAAACCTTATGCAATAATGTTGGAGCCACTTATCTTAGTCGTAATCCTGTCTTACATAGTAGAATAAAGCATGTGGCCGTTGATTTTCATTTCGTCCGTGATCAAGTTAAAAGGAACACAAATTGATGTTCGGCACATTAGCAATGCCTCACAGCTTGCAGATGCCCAAACAAAACCTCTACCTCGACGACCTTTCTCTAACTTTGTGACCAAGATTGGCCTCCAACTAGTGGAGCCAATCTTGCGGGGGCATGATAAGGATAAGGATAAGGAGAGCTAAGATTCTAATTTGAATTCAAATTGTTGCATATATCTCTTAAACCTCTCTTCCTCATCTACAAAACTCCTACTACCATTGTACTTCTTCATATATAAATGTACCAATTTACATGATACAAGTTGGAATACCAAATCTTCACTATTTTAGTGACAACATAATAAAAAGCCACTTGACAATTTTAGGACAAAATTAGTTAGGTTAGGTAATAATTATTTTTCTTAATTTAATTTAAAAATAAATAAATTTTGCACTATGTGTTATTAATAATTAGTTACTATTTTTGAATTTGAATTTAAACATAGAAGAAAAGTCTAATTTGAATTTTAAACAATTACAAGCAACATAGTAAAATATATAAAAATCAAAACTTTATATTTAAAAAAAATAGAAGAAAAGTCTAATTACTTATTCCATATAATGTAGAAAAAAAATTCTAAAAATATTGATACATTTTATACAAAATAATAAAAAAACATATATTTTGGACGAAGTAAAAATATAAAAATCAAAACTTTATTTTAAAAAGTGACAACATAATAAAAAGTCACTCGACAATTTATGTATCAAAGACTTTATGTATCATACGAAGGAAGTTATCAGAAATGGTTAAACATAAAGTACACAGCAAAGGCCTCTTAAACTCATACTCATTTTCCTGGTAGCCGTTACTTCCCACAGCATTAGGAGTGTCACTGAGAGTAGTGAGTATGTCTGTCCTCTCCATGAGAGTGTTTTCCGAGAAGAATGTTGAGGGAAGGATGAAGACACTTAGCTAGGCACTTTTCACTTATCGGGAGTCAATTTAACTAATGTTTGAAGCTAAAATTGGATTAGATCAACTCAATTATTTATAACAAAAATTTAGATATTCAAAAATTACACGAAAATTACTACTATAAGCTGTAGTTCTTCTTATATTAATGTGCTGAAAAAATTTATTTCAAAATATTGGTCAAAATTCATATAGCTTAAATTTTGGAAAAAAAAAAGTGTCGCGTAAATTTAAACAGCACAAACCACAAGTACTTCATTTCCAAAGCTTTGCTGTTCTTCTAGAATTTCCTCTGTGGAAGTGACAGCAGCTTGGCTACAATGATCTATTAAAATGATTTTAATGTGGGAATATCTCCAATCTCGATAGGAAGACTATCAGTGCTTGCATAAAAAATCTCAATTTATGTAACATGACATTTAGAAAACAAGTCAATGCTCACCTTATCCTTCAATGCTATAAATTACTCCCTCCGGTCCAAAATAAGTAATTTTTTAACCTTTATTTTATGGTCCAAAATAAGTGATTTTTCCTGATTTCAAGAATGAATTAATTATTTTTTCCTACATTAACCTTGGAATAAATAGTGTTGGAGTATGTGTTGGAAGTGTTTATGTGAAGAGTTAGTAAAGGTTAATATGGTCAATTTTATTGCTAATTAATGTTAAAAGGTGAATTTCTTAATCTGTGTGAAAACAGCCAAAAAATCACTTATTTTGGACCGGAGGGAGTAGTCAAAACCAACAAATACTTCTCCAAGCAGGTGAGAAAATATAACAATTAATGCAAAACATATAATTAAAGTTCATATACCAACTCATAACCCACAAGAACTTTAAACCTTAATTACTTATGTCTAAAAGTCAAACTCATGAGTCTATTCTTTTTCTTTTCCAAATATCATCCTAATTAAACCAAAAAAGCTTTCCACACTTTCCAATGTACTTTGAACATCTCATATGATCAAACACAGTCAAAACATAAAAAAAACAACATTTAAGTACGTTACATAACTTTCATAACCTAAGTGGCACAGCAACTACAGAATGATTCGGGATATCACAGAAGTTTGTATATCACACAACTCAAAATATTTAATTCAAGTAGTCAAACTCAAAATAAAAAATAAGCCTATATAATCCAAGAAAATCTTGTACTGTGAAGTGGGACAGTTCTGCTGTTGCGGAACTGGTGATGGCTACAGTGTAACATGCATTCCTGATCATCTGGTCTTGCTTGAACAAAAGATATAGCAGGAACTGGCTTCATCTTTATTCTTGCCCAATTAATCTCTTCAACTTTGAATAAAACTGGGATTTTTTACTGGAATTGTGATATCTTCTTGATGAACTATCATTCAGAGTAATATCATCGTCTTCACTCCCAGGAGAGGACAGAAGCGACAAACTGCTTGCAAGATCTGTATCCCACTGGTCACATTCTGATGCTGCATATTCTAAGATCAACTGCTTCGCCTTCTCCTCTGATTCTCGGCTTAAAGTGTTACTAAGATCATGAGCTACTAACTTAGGTCTTGGATAGTTCGGAATTTCATGACCTAAGGTTGCAGCAACTGTACGAAGATAGACGACCTCTTCGACATCTCCGTATTCGTCCTTCTGATGTCCTAATAGACTCAGAAGATATCCACTTGTATCCGTATCAATTACCCGTTTCCTCGCCTTAGCTAATACTTCTTCATGAAGTTGTGGATTCCGAAGTTGTATGCGTAATTCTGCGGTAATTAACCGAAGACACTGTACCTCTTCAACATCATTGTATCTGTTTTTCTGACGTCCTAATAGTTTCAGAAGATCCTCATCTGTATGTGTTAAACTAGTTACCCCTTTCCTCACCTCAGCGGCTATTTTATGCTGCAACAGTTTAGAAAAGAAGATAGTGATATACAAACCGGAAAGATCATGCAATCAAACTTATTAGAATACTCTATCTCCAATAGTCAGTGGGATTGAAACACAATTGTGAGAACGAAAGAAAGTAATGAACATAAGAGCAAAAGCAAAATATAAAAACAATAAATAAATGCTAATGTAAACACAATAAAATAGAAAAATGGCCCATTTAGATATAGTTTCCATCAGACTCAACCACCTCCATATTTAAGGAACAGTATCCCTTTCTCAACGTAATTGACTGAACATTTAGGAATTCATCGAGGCAACTTGGTGGTAGAGATTTACATAACTTAGTTTACTTGAAATTCTTCGCCAACATAGAAGCCAGCTATATAGCTTCAGCTGTCGTAGTTTCAACAAATACTGTTATTCGGTAACAAAAAAGAGCCAAAAAGTAACAAAGGCAAGGTATTGACCATGGATTTCTACACTCAAAAGAAAACGAGAACATCATTTTTAACACATTGGGCACCAGTAGGAACATCTCTACTGAACCATTTCAATAGTACAGGTGCTGCCATGTCACGAAGAACGACCATGGAAGTAATGGCTGACTTCTTTCAGCTTGATCGGAATCGATCCCATGATTAAATAGCAGGGGAATCCTGAACTAGACACAACAGGATCAATTGACTTTGCAAATCTAATTGTGTGCAAGCATCTTTTCCATTTATTGTTTTGGCATTAAGCCGTCACGGACTGATGCAAGTTCCAAGAGATTTTTTCACTTGTTTCAGCACTCTGTTGTGCTCTAAAGGGATTACATGTCATTTAAAACGCGTTTGCTAACAAGTGAATTCTTTTACAAAATGATTACAGAAAATGAGTAACAGGAGCAGGGGCGAAGCTAGAGTGTCCGTTGGGGTTCGGCTAAACCCAGTAGCTTTGATTCAAACTTTATATTTGTCGTTAAAAATTCATTGATAGTATAAATTTTTATTGTAAAACCCAGTAACTTAATAGAATTCGAATTTCGAACCTACAAGCTTGAAATTTTGGCTCTGCCTATGAAAGAGGCCATTTTCTGTGTAAATAATATGAGAATAATTATGCAAATTAGAATAACCAGGTTTTCTCACTTCCCTAAACTAATGCATTATTTATTTAACTTGACCATGCATTCAATAACAAATGGATGAATTAGTAACAAAGGTACACTGCATTTTGTTATATGCCTTCTTGACCAGCAAAGTATGTGAGATATGTGTGAGAAGGGAAAAACAAAAGATATGTACTAGAAAAGGAAAACGGCAAAATGAAGGTAAATTGCAAAACGATGGATAAAGCAAGATTTATTTGCACTTACACCCATATTGCTCATTTGATTATACGTCATATCTGAGCCGTAGGTGGAAGCAATAGCAGCTTCTTCATCTTCTTCACCACCCATGTCGAAATATTGTACTGCAACTCGCACACCAGTAGTTATTAGAAGTGGGAAAGACAAAGTAATAACCACAGCCAAGGTCTATTATAACTTATAAGAACATAAATTTACATACCTCCAGTATTGTAGGTGCGGACCACAAGAATTTCGTTTCCCATGCTTTGTTGTTCTTCTAGAATTTCCTCTGCAGAAGTAACAACAGCTTGGCCACAGTGATGCAACTCAATCAATTTTAATGTGGGAATATCCCCAATCTCTGCAGGAATCTCCTTCAACTTATAACAATGCCTTATGACTAGACACTCAAGGTTAGGAAGACTATCACTGGTTGCTTTCCATAGCACCAAGTTCATCATCAAAATGTGTAGCAACTTGAGTTTCTTGAAACCCCCTTCATTTAAATTCCAATTGGTCCCTTGAATAGCAAAATATTTTAGTCTGAGCACCTCAAGATTGGGTAAGCGACCAAGCATTGTCATATCCTTCCCACAGTAAATGTGTTCCTACGAGTGTCAAACTCTTCAGGTTGGTCGGGAAAACTTCCCATAGCAGACCAGGCAGCATTTGGAAAACCTCTACGGAAGAGGGAATTGCTAGATGAATTCTTAGCTTCTGCAGATCAGCTAAGCAAATCAGACTATCAATAAGCTTAGACCATTCATGATTATCTGGATGGATCAATACTCCCAGTTTCTTTATTTTAGGGGCTGCTGTAAGAACTTCTATCCAGTTGGAATCTGTAGCGCGTATTGAATCAAGTGTTTCCAAGTTCTGAAGACCCAAAATATTTTCTTCCTTTGGAGGAGCATGCACATACATTCCCCCAGAATAGATGTATCTCAAACTTGACATCTTCCAAATTTCCGATGGCAGGGATAATTCATCTCCAACTGGATGAACAATCAGCGTCTGTAGATTCCAAAGATTGGATATTGATGCAGGAACATTGGTACCAGTGGTACAAGCAACGTATCTCAAGTGTATTAGCTGTGTTATGTCACAGGGAAAACTTGAAAAGCGAATACATTCTGCATCCAATATCCTTAGCAGTTGAAAACGAGAATCTACTATTTTGCAGCACAGATAGTCGAGGTAAAAAGTATGGGATTCACCCAGGCATAAGATTGCCCGAACAGAATTCAAATTACCTTTATCCAAGTCAAGATTCTGGTTATTTAAAGCATCTGGATTCAAACACATTCTGCGTTCAATCTCCATACCTTCAGAGGACACATCAAAACATTTAGTTATGATATTAAAAAACTTCTCAGATTTTTCTTCTTTCAAGCATAATTGTCGAAGGAGGTCATGAATTCTGCAAGTTCTTAATTTACCATTGGCTCGTCGTCTACTAGCCAAAATCAAACTTCTGCTAACGAGATCCTCTAAAGACTCTTCCGCTACCTCTTCCAACATTTTATCACTCTTTGTGTTTAGAAAACCCTCAGCAACCCAAATTCTAATCAACTTATCTGCAGGAATTTCTGCATCTTCGAGGAAAGCTCCCGTATAAAGAAAGCAAGCTTTTAAGCTAGGAGGCAACCAGTTGTAACTCAACGACAATATTGCTAAACAATGCTCAGTGGTGGAACCTATATGTGAAACCACATTTTCAGCAACTTTTTTCCAATCTTCATATGTCGTATTGATCTTGGAGAGAAGCCCACCAATGACAACAAGCGAGAGGGGTAATCCTTGACAATGTTCTGCCATCTGCTTCCCTATTTCCTCCAACTGAGGAGGACAGTCTTCCTTTCCAAATACCTTGTTAGACAGCAAAGTCCAACTATCTTCAAAATTAAGGAAAGGCATGTGATGGGGAGGGCAACCATTACCAGTACAATCAGCTACTTCTAGAAGCCTAGTAGTTATCATGATTCGACTTCCATTATTATCATCAGGAAATGATCTTTTAACTAGGTCCCAGGCCTCTATACTCCATAAATCATCCATAACTATCAAATATCTTTTGCCTTTTAATTTTCTATATAACTGCTCTAATAATTGGTCATAGCTCTTGTTATGATATAACGCCGTCACATCAGAAGTACCAAAGCTTAAAACATTTATAAGAATTTCTCTTGCATCATATTCTTGAGAAATAGTAACCCATGAAGAAACATCAAAGCGACATAATACTGATGGATTGCTAAACACTTGCCTGGCAAGAGTTGTCTTACCCATACCGCCCATGCCAACAATTGAAACAATATTCAGCTCCCGCGCTTGCCCAATGAGTTGATCTCTTATGTCGTTGAAGTCATCCTCCATGCCAACAAGAGTAATTTCCTCATCCAAAACATCCCTAGACGAGCGGCGAGGTAGAGAAGTTGTTGCCGGCTGCTCTTTAATGTGTAGGTGGTCATTCTTGAACTTCATCACCTCTCCTTGTATTGAATCCATTACATTTGCTATTTGCTTCAACTCGTCATAAAGCTGACAACGAGCATTACTTTTATCATTTTCAGTGTTAGCCACATGGATACTTCTTAGGCACAAATCAACAGTATCTTCTGCTTTATAAGCTGCATCTCTAATCTTCTTCTCCAAAAAAGTCAACGATTCTTGATCATTGATCCGATTTCCAATATCCACAAGGAAAGTTTGCAAGAAAACAAGTGTTTCATAGAGAGAATCAAGGGGTCCCCAAATATTTTCAGGAATCAAAGTTGGATTGAATTGCAGGACTTGCTCAAGAGTTGTCATTAGTGAAGTTATAACAGCATAAGCCATCTTTCTCTCTCTCTCGCAAGATCTGTTCGTTTGCTTTTCAGTGGAATTTCCAACAGCAAGAGCCAAGTACTTGATCAGCAAATACTAAGGAAAATGCATAAATGTTTCTAATCTCCCAACCCCCCCCCCCCCCCCCAAAACAAACCAAGTAGTAGTATTTTTTTATTGGGTTTCTTTAAGAAGCACGAGAGCGTAATTTAAGGATCTGTAAGTTCATGAACTCCTGCTACCCATATGAGATTGAGAGTTTATACAGGAATCTTGATTTCATTAATGATTTCTAATTTGTTACCATTTGACCAAACGAAAAATTAAGATTATTAAATTATTGTCCGCTCGGCTCAATACTCTACTTACGACATTGTAATACGCCGCACCTCAAACAACCCAACTTGAACATGTTTAAAACTCCTGACCAGTAAGTGGGAGTATAAATTGTTTGTAACCAAAAATCAGTCTGGGCTTAGGTCCAAAAGCAGTCCAACGAAAAACCTAGGGGCTAACAAGCACGGCATGGCCATTGCCGCACTTGCCCGCCAGCGTGGTATGATTCATCGTCTTATTTGGCTAACGACGTCGGAGATCAAGTCAAGAATCAATTACTTTGACACATCACCGCCTCTAACAAACTCCGAGTTACTTCCACCCACATCTTAACAAATGCTAACTATGCAAACAGGTTGAGATCAACCTAACCCTCTACCAGCTGTAGGTGGTTTTGATATTTAAAAAAAAAAAATAAAAAAAAAATTGACCATGATGGCGACCATTTGGACACGGAAAAATTGAAGAGGAAACCTTTAGTAATTGTTTATCACAACGCGATTCCTCCTCCAAAGAGCTCATTGAAGAAAAATGCAAACAAATTCTTGAGACCACTGAAGGGGAAATCCGTTCACCCATATTTCTACAATATGGGTGAACACATAGTAGAGAAAAAGATTTTTTCTCAATAGGTATAGTTGGAATTAGTAAAACTGAAGATGATTTGGACTGGTTGAAGTCAAAATTGATAGTAGTTGAAATCTATTGAAAATTTTCTATGCGACATATGTATCTTACTTGCATGTACATAGCCGACCTAATATGTAAAATTTGAGGATGAAGGAGATTTGGACACGCTGGAGTTAATTCCTAGTTCAAATTGAGTTAAAAAATTTCTCCGTAAGGTACACAGAGGATACACAATGGATACAAATGAGATACACAAATAAGACATGGAGATGTTCATCATTTACTCGAATTTGGCTCAAATTTAAATTTTAACCACCTTAAAACTCCATCAAATTATCCCAAAACTAAAACTATTTGATTCTAAATAAACAGCAATGATGAATAGAAGGGGACTTCAGGGTTGTCGTGCAACTATACCTCAAGACTCCACAAGTAGCTGGATCCGGGCAGTCTCATTATGCATTGCTAGGATCAACTCTGGTATCTGCACAAGGAAGTACAAAGTGTAGTATGAGTACAACCTACCACATGTACTCTATAAGTACCCAGCCTAACCTCGACGAATTAGTGATGAGGCTAAAGCAGGCCACTTACAATAATATGTACGCAATGATGATGATGATGATGATGATGATGATGATGATGATGATGATGATGATGATGATGATGATGATGGTAATGATGATAACATAAAATAAAAAATGGAAGTAAAGCAATTAATTCACGAAAACGAACTCGAAATTCAACTACCAGAGAGCCCGGAATAACAAGTCTCATAGTCTCATATCACAATGCGAAGGCTAATTCAACAATCACAAACAAGTACCACATATGCAATCCGTTTCAGTGTGTAGCCTAATCCCATCATATATCATCTGTCCATATCACAATCCGTCCTTATTCCACCATTTCAGTTTATTACTTTTCAATTTCTGTTGCGGCGTGCTACCCGCTCCCCAAATAATTTCAATCATCAACATAAACAATTCAACAATTAAATTTACAAGAATTTCTACATCACGAGGTTAAATGTACAAGGCAATAAGGAACCACAGAATAATCAAAGGCAAATACATAAGTATCTACTTAAATTATATACCAAATCCCTATTACACATTCTCTGAGGACAAATATCATATTACACATGCAACCTTTCAGAATTGTGCCTAGTACCCATTACTTTTGCCAGATGGTATGCACGTGTTTAACAAATAAAATGTGCGCGTCAAACCTATGCAGTATATGTTCAAATCCTTATATAAGCACACGTGTCTAAATCTTATTTGTCCCCTTATTTTTGTTAATTTAATAGTTAAAAAAGGAAAGGAAAAAATATCCAAGCCCTCCTTCCCCATTTGGAGCCCCTGTCGTCCTCGGAATCCGGCGATAACCATAACTCCCTTTTCTTTCACACGCCTCCCCATCTCCTCCCTCTTTCATCTTCTTTAAGAAGATGTCGCCATAACTCGTAACGCTGGTAACGACCTCAAGCAACGAGCCAAGAACTCCATTGCTAGGTCATTAGTTCCACTATCAGTTCATGGTTGATGAGCTCAGATCTTTTCCGCGTGGGTGGAGCTATTTGATCTTTCCAGCAAGCTAGTGGTTCTTTATTCAAATCTGGTCTCGTTTAATTAAAAAACGACAAACGACAACGACCTCCATTTTCCGGCCACTGTTATAGTGGCAACACCCATCCGTAACAATGGTGATTCCATAGCAAACAAAACAAACAAAACCTATAAATCAAAAAATGGTGAAAAAAGTTTAGAGTAAGGAGAAATAATAGTAAAGAAGAACAAGGATGATGAAGAAAGTGGGTCTTCAAATAAAGAAGAATTTAAGTATGGTGGTGTCTCTAATTTTCTTTCGAAAGAGAAAGAGACGAGGAAAGAGAAATTAGTTTAAGTGTTTTATTTTTATTTTTAAATATTAACATGTGTCATGATGTTATTGGTGCATCACATTGCACTTATTTTGAAAAATTGGTTAAGGAAAAAGTGGTGTGTACTAGACACAATTTTGAAAGTTTGCATATGGAATATGTGTTTATCCTCAGAAAATGTGTAAGAGGGATTTGGTGTATAGTTTTAGGTGGCTACTTATGTATTTGAATCTTTAACAACTTGAAGTTTCAACATTACCAATTCATCGGTATCTAACAATTGAACAACTCACGCAACAAATACTACAAATCAAAAGAGACAAGTAAAGCATGTGACAATTTAAGGTATGCAACTAAAACAAGTAGAAAACAAGTAGCAAATAAGCATGGAGTCATGTGAGGAACTGACAAATTAAGGCAAAGAAATAATTAAATGACAAGTAACGAAAATATATAACAATTAAGGCATGAAGCAAGATATATCATGAAATAAACGAAAACATGGAAATAAATATCCAATCCCTGTATGCTAGATCCCATGGCGGTGTATATACACTCGTAACCTCACATATATGCCATTTACCCACATAATTCATATAACACATAGTTCAAGAATTCTTAATTCAGTCAAGTCATGGTTAGACACAACACTTACCTCACTCTGCAACCAAATCAACGCTCAACCGCGATTTTTCCTCTAGAATTAGTGTCCAAACCAATTAAATCTAACCAAATATAGTCCAAATAAATTAAAATAGGCTCTAGAAAATACCCATGAATGAAAAATTTAATCTTTAATGATTTTAAAAAAAGTCAACAAAAGTCAATCTCGTGCCCGCTTGGCCAAAAACCGAGATGCAGACCAAAACTCAATTACCTATTCATCCCGAGCCCGGTTATGTGATTAGTTTTGAAATCCGACCTCAATTTGAGGTAAATCTCAATTTATCAAAATCAACAATTTCTATCTAAATTCTTAATTTCTACCATGAAAAAGTATAGATTAAAGGTTAAAGGCAGTTTATGAAAATGTAAGAAAACATGTTAAAATCTACTAACCTATAAAGTTGGGATGAAATTCTCTTCAAAATCACCTCTAGGCCGAGCTCAAACTTAAAAATGGTAAAAAATGACTCAAATCCCGTTTTTAGAAGTTTAAATCACTGGGACGCGAAGAACACCTGACGTGATCGTGATGTACATCGGCTAAAATGGCCTCCACGTTCGCGAGATGCCCTCCGCGTTCACGATGGACTCACGCCTCCCCCTAGGCCTTCGTGTTCACGAGCCTAGGCTCGCATTCATGTAGAGTATCTACCTGCCTCCCCCTGATTCCCCTTAAACCTTCACGTTCGTGTGTGAATGGTCGCTTTTGCGAAGGGTAAGCTCTCTACTGCTTCGCGTTCATGACCAGTTCTCTGCGTTCGCGAAGAAGAACTCCACCCCAGTCCCAGTTTCCCCTTCGCGATCGCGAGAGTAGCTTCGTGATCGCAAAGCACAAGGCACCGGACATTAGCAAATAGCTGAAACCAACAATTTTTTTCTAAGTTCAAATAGTCCGTAGCCTATCCGAAACTCAGCCGAGCCCCTCGGGATCCAAACTAAACATGCACGCAAGTGTAATAATATCATATGAACTCGCTCGTGTGATCAAATCACCAAAATAACATCTAAATCTATAAATCGAACCTCAAAATGAATGAAATTTTAAATGAAACTCAAGAAATTCCAAATTCACAATCGAGTGTCCGAATCCTATCAAACTAACTCCGTTTTGCACCAAATTTTGAAGAAAAATTTTAAATAGTAAATGAACCTATACCAAATTCCAGAATAGAAATCCGAACCCGGTAGCTGTAAAGTCAACCTACGGTCAAACCTAGGAAATCATTAAACCTTCAAGTTACTAGTTTTCGACAAATCAAGTCAAATCAAGTTAGAGACTTTCAAATTCAATTTCGGGCATACGCCCAAGTCCAAAATCACGATACGGACCCATCGTGATCGTCAAAATATCGATCCGGACATAAAATGTTGACCGTAGTCAATTCAAGTTATTTTTAAAGCTAAAAATCATATTTTCTTCAAATATTTCACATAAAATATTTCCAAAAAGGATACGGACTGTGCACACAAATCAAGAAACACTAAATGGGGCTAATAAAGGTCACAAAATACGGAAATAAAGGCTAGAACTCAAAATGACCTATTAGGTCGTCACATTCTCCACCTCTAAAAGAAATGTTCATCCTCGAACGGGCATAGAATAGT